CCCCAAAACCCCAAAACCCCAAAACCCCATTGGTTGGAATTTATCGATATATGAGTCATTGATGAAATCAAGTATTATCAATTATATTGTTATATAAAATCATATATTTTGTATTGCAAATAGCATCTTCATTAACTGGACATATCCTATTTGACTTTCCATCAATAGTCAATATAGAATTCATTCTTCAATTGACTAGCAATTCAAAGTCTTTTCTCTGCTGCTTTCTTTACTTTGACTACACCATCAAGTATCTACAATTTAATTTTACGGCATATTATCTTACCTTATTCGTGAAATTGAAACTCTCCTCAGTAACTACATTGTATAAGTTGTAAAATCCTTCTCCGAACCCTTTAAACACTCCTTTCTCAGAGTAAAATCCTTGGTAGGGTTTCTTGACCACTCCATATAATGCTCCAGCAATATTAAATACACTTCTAACTGGCCCGATCGCCTTAAAGAAATTGATTTTTTAATTCTATGTCAAATCTTCCTTATAAAACTCAAGCAGGTTCTTCAAAGCTTTATCCTTCAAAATTTTTTATTGTAGTTCGTACCCCTTTATATTTATTTTCAAGTCATTAATGTTAAAAATGTTCAGAAATTCTAGTTTACTGCCGTCCTTTAGGTCTTTAAAATTTAATCTATTGGATGTGTAAGTAAACACTGCTTAGAAAGGTACAATCTTAAGTTAAGAAATGAACACTTATCTTTAATTGCTATCCGAATATTCAGAAAACTAACCCTAGGACTTTTCTGTTTCAGAAGTGCTTATAAAATTCTTAGGATTCGGCTGAGATGATTGCTAGGTGAAATCTATCTCGAAAAATTCTTGGAAAAATGTTATAGTCTTCTAATTAAGCATCAGCTTAAAAGGTTAAATCTAGAGCTTAATCCCAATTTCATCATTTTCTTTCTAAGTTATATAGAAGTAACTGAATTCAATATGATTGTCATACTGATATGAATAAGGAATTTGCAGCAACTCTCTTTAGAGTCTTCCTTTTCGGCTAATAGTCTCCTTAATTGCAATATTTTGAATCGAATAAACAGAGTTCTCATAGATGTTGTCCATCTTTTCATAGTCATTATAATCTCTCATCCTATAATAGCTGAACACGATATTCTTAAGTTAAAGAGAAAAGTAGAATCCCCTTCCTGATTTCCTTGGTCTTTTTTAACTTTCAAGTTAAAATTTGTTCTAAGTAATTGGTTGCCTAGCATATTAAGATTGCCCTAATTAGCTATGTCCAATGCTTTGATTGGTATTAATTTTAGATTTTTGATTCTGTATTTTGTTATAGTTTTAAGCTAAGTAATCCTCTTATATACTCAAAGTTAAGTCTTGCACTTTATCTGCTATCAATTATGATGAGGAAATTGCTGTAAACGGGTCAATTTTCTGGCTGAGTTCTCTTGAGTAGAACGCTTGATAGTTCTATTTTTATTCAAAATCAAAATCCTTTCCTTGAAATAGCTTTAAATCAATGCATTCTATCTCAAAGTAGAAGTTCTTTGACTTAAATAGCTCTCTAAATTACTCTGGCACAATATGACATTTTCTGTGCTTTATTTATTGTAATTTCTCATCTGTTATAACTTGGATAAACTCATCTTAAATAATTGTTTCTATATTTAGTATACCACTTGACTCCAACTACTTATCATTTCCATCCTATTCAATCTTGAAATAGGATGAACCAATTTGAGATTTTGAATTATCTTGATAGAAAAATGCTGACTGATGTACATGATTTTCATATTAATTTGCACCTATATTATCATCTTCTAATTGAGAAACGCTAAGGTCACAATTTTAATTAGGAAGGTCTTTATTGCCTATAAATTCTTTATTTTCCTCATCTTGCTAGTGTTAATCTATGTAAAAGAATGAACTTAATATTTTTTCAACCTCATCATCTTCAGTACTCTTATAGATCTTGTGAACGTTTTTCTTCTCTTTTGGCTCCTTATTCTGTAGCTTTTCAACCTTTTTGATTATTTCTTAAGTTTGATGCTAAATGACTTAAATTAACTTCTTGAAAGTTTGGAATGAATCATTAGCCAAATAGAGACTTATCTTTTTAACCTAGAGTCTCAATTTCTCTTTTTTTACATAGATTAGATTTTCATCACTGTCTATTTATGATAATAATGGGATGTATTCCTTTTCTCCAAATGTGGTCTAGTATAAATCATCGATTTTATCATTAGTTATTTGTTTTAGAGATTCGGTTTATGCGTCTTATGCAGCTAATTATTCATTAATTGTTGTAGGAGATTTCAGTTTCACCTAGACTATTTTTTTAATTTTGTACCTTAGTTCAACTAGGTTAAGAGAAAATACTTGGATGAATCCAAGATAATCTAGGTATGATTAGCCACCTTAAGAATTAATTGATTTATGCTTGTCTAAAAGTAGAATTGGATTCATATTTGAATTAATAGAGTTTTGTTAGAGTAAATGCAGTCCAACATTCCTTACTGATAATTCATAGAGTTTTAATTTTTCTTTCTTTTAATAAATTGCTTTCAAATCACCTAGATACAATATGCCTCTCTATAGAGATCTTATATAATGAGTAGCTTTTTCATCCAGTTTAGAGATATTTAAACTAAGGAAATTGTCATTGTAAAACATTTCATATTTTTGCTGGTGAAGAATCGGTTGGTAATCAATTGCTATATCACTAAGCTCTACAGTCAAATGAATCTAATCTGAACTAAGTTTTTCACTTTTAATAAGGTCTTGAGCTGATATTTATACCTAAGGGGCTACTCTATATTTCTTTATAATTTTTCCAAAAGCCTATTCAATTTGTAGCATTTCTAGCACAATATTATAATCCATAGTTAATCTAATCAATAGAGCATTTACATTTATGCTTAAAGTAAGTTCCATAGGATTTCGTTTTATCTACAGAAGATCCTCATTAAGTTACAATATTTGATTATTATTATTCATTTCAAGAGCCTTAATATAAAGATTAGCAATATTATCACTAGTAATCAATTCCTTAAACAATTTTTTCTTCTGGAAAACTGCTTCTATATTTAGCATTATGAAAGGCTAACTTATGCCTTATTGCTTATAGATTATAATCTTGTCTTAAAATTCCATTAATTCATCGATGAAGGCTGGATACTCCCTTAAATTATCCTATTTCCTTTGAATATTCTAATCTTGATTGAAGTGATTGATATCAACAACCTCTCTATTGATTAGAGTCTAATGAAATTTGGATGGAGTCTGCAAATAATCAATAAGCATCAGCTAGTTAATAGTAGATTTTATGAGGAATCTATCTTGCTTGACACTAATGCCCAATTATATTTCAGCTTAAATTTGGTCCAACCTAATTTTGAGTAGGTTTTTAACTTGAATACAATTTGAATCGAGCAATTTAGCTTGTATATTAGATATATTTCTAGAGATAAGTATTTATAAATCATTTACTTCCAGGTTTATGATAGTACTAATTGGAGCTTTTTTCCTTCTATTTTAAAGCAAAAACTATGTTGTTGGGAAATTTTCTTTTTCCTTGGTTTTTTCATAGGCATAAGCTCTGGCTATATCCTCAAATAGTGATAGAAATTTGAACATTTCCTCTAACTTAACTAAAGAAAATACTATCTGCTCTAATTGATCTACTAATATGTCAGAATTTAGTTTTTTCACATTGATACTAACTTTGGTAAGAGTCTTGCAATTCTCATCATCAGAGTAATAGTTTTTCTTATTTTATTTTTCATTTTTGCTTTCTTCTTCCTCATCATCAATAGTCTCAATCTAATCCTCAAATACGATAATAGCCTTACTATCATGCTACATGTATGTGTTATATTCGTCATTATGAAATTTTTGTAGTGAAGGTAATATGTTCGTTTCAATTAATACTGAAATAGTCTATAAATTGATGAGCTATATCGAATTTAATTGATCTATAGTAACTAACTCAGCTCCTTCTAAAAGAATTTGAATTTTACTAGCTTTTGCTTGCAAACTTGCATTTCTTATATTTATCTAGGCAGTAATATCAGATGCTTAAGCCTATTACTAGCAGTAGCATTCATTCGGTTATAGATTCTCAATAGGGTTGTTCTCTATTATAAGACCTAACTTTTATTTCAAGTCAAACTTATTATTTGTTGAATTTAGAACATCAATTTTAATGAAGTCAACGCTCACATCGAATCTATCCATTATAACCTTAGATTCTACAGGTTTCTTTTCAACCCTGATCTTATCAGTACTAATTTCTCGAGCTATCTAGCCTATCAATATAACCTCAGGGTATCCGAAATTCACATTTAACACCCCGAATCTAACTTCTCCTGATAATTTTAACTTAGAATTTTTTTCCTCTTGAATTGATAATTGGACAGAAGCCATCATATTGGTTTCACCCTTGCTAATGCTTCTAAAGTCAACAATGCTTTGCCTACAGAAATGTTGAGTATGGCTATTCAGTTTAAACATATTCTGAAAATAAATGGGATGAGTATGATACTGATTGTCTTGTAGATTTTATGCCACCTAGCACTACGATTACTAATTTATGTGGCTTTGACCACCATTATTTCCGTGCCTTTTATGAGAAACATTGGACTTTTCCAGATTTTTGCTATCATAAAGTGTGTTGTATATATTGGTTTGTTCTAGCTTGTAAAATTCCTAGGCAGATTAAAACATCGCACTATTTTGAGAGAAGGACTCATACTAGGCTGTAGAGCTATCCAGTTGATAAAACTAATTTAATCCAATTTAATTATTTGGCTGAGCAATCTTTGTTTACAAGTCATATCTGTTCAGCTATAACTAGCCAAGCCCTCCCTTTAATTTAAACATCTAAGAATATAGCTTTCTTTTAGTAAAAGGGTTGTTGTCCCTGCGCTTAAGGTGCTTTAGGCTGAAATCGATATTTAATGATCTTGCTTCCAAATTATAATGACAATAACCAATCTTTTGATCTAGTCTTAGCAAATGATTATCGTCCTGGACAAGATTACCTGGGGGAAACGGCATCATTTGGCTTACATTCTATTATTAATTTAAGGTTGGAATGCAATCATAGACATTGTCATAAGAGATCCCACTCTCATTGAGGATAAAAATTAAAGACAATTTTCCCAATGCAAATGAAGCTGTGATGGACAAGGGTTATTTCCTTGCTGAAATATCATTAATAGATTAGTATTAAGACTAATCAATGATCAGACTACCATCCATTTAGTTTTTTAAATCATCTGAATTCTATGAACTCTGAAATCTACTTTACATCATGCTCTGTCTAAGATCATCTTTCAATTTCGCAAACTCATTTTTCTTGGTTGTTGCTTTTAAATATCCACATATAATCTTTTCTGTTTTTATTAAAGGTTTTTTCTTCTTACCTGGCTTAGTAACATTTGTTGATGCTTTGGTTCTTTATTGATATTTAATAAAATAGCCCGGCTCTTAGTCTTTGTTTGTAAGCTTGTCTTTTATTATTGTTCCATATAGATCAAGTGTGTCCTCATCAATTTCATTAGGTTTATGAAAGAAAGATTGAGTCATGCAGGGAACTCTTCCTTCTTTTTATCTGATGTAAAGTTAGAGGTCTTAAGAAAACTCGACTATTCTTTTTAATTGGTCAAAAGATAAAAGTGCCTCAATGTTAGGCAATTCAGCTTTCAAATCAAGCCTATTCCTTTTTACATCATTTGGAAAGCTCATTTAAACACTTAAAGCAGACTTTTTGCCAGTCATCTACTAACTTAGACTAGGTTTTATAACAAGGATAGTACTGGGATCATTTATTTAGGGATATTCAATGGGAAATTTCAGTTTTTGCTACTGCTATAAGTTTTATTACTAATGGTTTGAGTTTTGCTTAGATTTTTAATCATTTTATTTAAGTATATAGTTCCTCATGAGGTGGAGAGAGACTTCACTCACTTCTAAAATTTTCCCATCCAGGATGACTTGTATATCAGATATCGGTCGAGTGTTAGGATCAGGACAAGCTTACCTTTTGTATTCAATGTTTGTAAGTCTAAGTAAAAATGTTGGTATATCAAGAGATCTATGAGGTTCAAAATCCTGTGTTAACAATCGAATCGTTACTGAGTTTAGTTTGACTTCTAGATTTGATAGTATCTTATTAAGTAAATTATTCAGAATCTATTTATTCATCGTTATTATCATTGAATATGATTACATTGAATTCTTCAGATTATTTCTAAGAGGAATCATTCTTCATTTCATCTTTGTTACTTTCGCTATCTGAATCAGAGGAGATACTCTAGTGCACTTTTTCTTCAGTAACATTGAGAACTGGCATTAAAATAACATCAATCTAAATAGGTAAATATATTTCGTCAGAAATTGTGGTTTAGTAATTTTTAAAATTAAGTCAAGGATTATTTTCTTACATTATGTATTTCTATATTGATCTTCTATGTTATGAGATTGAGCGAGGGATTGTTAACTTATACTGAACTGATAGTGACATTGATCACTTTGAACGGGCTATCCTTCAAATTTTCATTTATCATCTAAAATTCTATTAGATCTATTGAAATTCTTGAATTTTGGAAAATATGTATTTCACGAAGAATTAGAACATAGCATAATCATTGTAAAAAAGTAAATAAGATTAGTCAGTCATTAAGCATTCAAGTAGTTATCACTTACCTATGTATTTAGATCCAGATCTCTAAAGGTGATTTTCTTTTAGCTAAAATCATACTTGTCAAAGTCTATTTTATTCTTAAGGAATTTGCCGAAAGATCGCTTAAAAACATACGCGAAGAAACTCTTTACTGGCCACAGACCCAAAAAATTACTCATTTTGATTATAAGTTGATTTAATTAAAAATTATATTATTGACTATTGACTAGATTACTTTCAAATAAATTTTGATCAATGGGGTTTTGGGGTTTTGGGGTTTTGGGG